TTTTTGTAAAAAAGTAGACTAAATTTAATATAGTTTTCTCATAAATTTTAAAATTTAAGAAAATTTTTTTAACAAGCACCCGTGTAATACACGGGTGTTGTACTAGTTTATGGTAATCCGAACCTAATTATTTTTTGTTTGGAATTAAATTAAAATTTATCCAAGCCTAATAACGAAGCATGTAATTTTGTCACATAAGATTCCGAAGCACCAGAAGCAGCCACGTAGGCTCAGCGCGTTCTGTATTAATATATAGGGGGAGGGGATATGAATAATATTAAAGATAGTAGAGTTAAGTTAAAATTGAGTTAAATTTTAAGTTAAAATAAAAGTGAGTAAATTATTTTGTAAACAATCACCCCTCGGTTTTTTTGCCCACCCCTACTTTTTCAGCTTCCCCACCGACAGTACTCACGCTTTAGTACTTCTGAACTCACAAGTACAAGGCCAGTTTTTGCAGTTATAAACAAAAAAGAAAAGAAAAAATAGAAAGCAAAAAAACACACAAAATGGTACAATAAAAGAAGTCCAGAGGTGTCAGGCAGCGCCAGTGGGGTTCTTGGGTTGTCAGAAATCCGCCATTCTTTACTGTAATTATTCTTAGAACATTCCATTCTTTTATTTATTTATTTATTTCAAATTTACTTGTAAATTCTTAAACCTTGTAATAAATTTATTTATTGCCATTTTAAAGATAATCTATATATATGATCTGGATATAGGAAAAAAAGGATTTAGCTCCGGACATTCTAGACGGCGGAGGCCGCGGCCAGAGCATACGACCAAGCAGCCGTCCTAGTGAGCGGCCACAACGCAAAGACAAATTTCGCTTTCCCAAACGGCTCCCGAGAAACTAACGAGCCCCCCAGCGAAGAAGTTGGCCCGCGTGCAGAACTTCTCGGGGCCAAGCTGAAGAAATGGTTCAAGAACCCAGCCACGTCAATCACGTGCCTGAGGCTAGCTAGACAACGACAACAAAAACAACATTGGCGTGTGGCAGAAACGGGCCGGGCGGCATCGGGCTCACATTGGGTCATGAAAGTCGATCTCACGATTAAAGGCGGGAACGGGTAGGGACCCGAGAGTCGTCTTGTGAAGGTGATGTGATGATGGATGAGGAGAATAGGGTTGCTTTGCAAATGGTGGAGGAATTGCTTTATAGTTGTTGATGGAGGTAAATTAGAGGGTCTTGTATTGTTTAGATGCTTATGATTAATAATAATCTTGGAGGAAAAAAAAAATATTATAAATATCAACAATAATCTTTTTTTTTTCAGAGAGAATTTATATAATCTCAAACAAATATTACAATTTCATGACAAAAAAAAA